GCCAAGTTATATTAGAGACGAGGCCCAGCTTATACACTGAACACGATCGGTCATTTCGTCAAAACTGGCCAAATATTGAGATTGCAGCTGAGGTCATGCTGGCAGCTGAAGTGACACATTAAGGTAAGGAATATGTGAATATTACAATGACCACGTATTAAAGTAATTTACCACATGTAAGCCTGTCACATGTGACACATTAACTTTTATAGCCAACATGTAAGTAAATGTATAATTATATTTTTATATGACAAGTAGCCTGTCTATCATATGTTAGTATTTGCTTATGTATATAATGTAGAAATATGTTTACTTTAACTGGATAATTTGTATGCTAATGTGACTCACTGTCTTATTTCATATACTCCCTGTACTCTGTGAGAATGATTAATAGCCTCAACATATTTTTCCAGATTTGAAGAATCAAGAACAGCTTTAATAACAGGGAAGTTTTGCATCAGAGATCATCGTGAAGTGGAAGATAAGACATTTTAAGGGTATGAACATTTTCACTTGAACTAGTTGAACAATAACCATGATGACAACTTTATCATGGGGGAATTTGTGGTGGTGGGGTAGCCTAGCGGTTGAAGCGTTCACTCTTCGTGCTGAAGACCCAGGTTTGATTCCTGCCACATAGCTGCGATATTGCTGAGTGTGGCGTTAAACATCAAACAAAGCTAACAGCCGCATACTTACTCACGTGGGGATTCCAGGTTGAAGTTAGTCCCCATCAACATGATCAACCTATGCTAGTTGTGAGAGATAACTTAATGGATCGGGTGATCAGGCTCGCTGACTTGGTTGATCCATGTCATTGTATCCCAATTGTGTGGATCGATGCTCATGATGTCAATCACTGGATAGACTGGTCCAGACTTGATTATTTACAGACCGCCGTCATATAGCTGGAATATGGCTGAGTGCAGAGTTAAACAACAAACACCAACATGATTCTACAACCTGCTCTTGTGGATACCATTTTGAAGATCCTACACATAACTTCTTTTCGGGTCTTAACTATTGCAATATGTTCTACTACATGTGTTTTAAACATATATTTTTTTTATAGTGAACTGGATTTGCAAACAAGCCGATGGCTTATCTAAATGATGCTGAAATACAAAATAAGTATTAATAAAATACTAATTCTATACTTTTGCAAACTATCAGTTGAGCAATAATGTAATCATCTGATTATAAGTAGATAATGAAGGAGAAGTCCATATTGATTAAATCTACCAGATTCTGAGATAAATGCACGTATTGATTGATTTATTTCAATGTTTTCCTGTACATAATTTTCAACAATTCCATATAACGCTTTCTTATATCATATCCATGCTGTATAATAATACCTATTATTTCTAATAATAGCATAATTTGGACACACAAATAAGTAATGAATGGTATTTTTATAACAGGTCATTTGACATGAATCAGTTTTATGTGAATTTAAATCACTACAAGCTGATCTGAGTCATGAAAGGATATGCCTTCGATTCTGTGAAAATGGAAATGCTAAAACATCTCCCAATATTAACCATGCTATTACAGAATCTGTTCACTTGTTTTTGTATGTAAAATATTTTTGAACGATTACATCCATCTAATGATTGTTGGTATGTGTGATATGCCAGTAGAGGTATATGTGTACAACCATGTGCATACACATAAAAAAATTATGTATGTTTGGCTAGGTATGAATAGGTTGTTTTGTGCGACTTGTATATTAGCATCATCATAGTTTCAACAGACAGTTTATGTATATCAAATGTTAAATGTCTTTGTAGGGAGAATTGCATATCAAAACTCATTATTTTATTACTTATGAGTAGAACTTTTTAAGTATCTGGCATGATACATTTCCTTGGTCCACAGACACATGTTACCAGTAAACTGACTTGATAAGTAGCATAACAGTCAGTGTGGTTGGAAACTAACTAAGCCGTCACTACTCAATTAAGTAATTAACAGACAATTGCAAGTGATAATACCCACCTGACACTAATTGCCCTGTTAATCCCTAATCCACCATGAGTTGACATTGAGCTCATCTTGCTAATGAGCTGTTGTGAGCGTAACGAGATGATAAACATCAAAGGTGGGGCAGGCTTTGATCAAGTGTTCTGTAGAAGAGATTATGTCACTTGTTTAATGTTTATTTAGGATTAGCTAAATCCCTTGATGCGACCAAGACCATACTTGAGATTATCAGACAGTTTGTCTGGATACAACCTGATGTCTCAACTGTACTTATTGGATTCTGCCTTGTAGCAAACTATGTGTGTGACAAGGAATTTGACCACTCTGTGCAGATGCATAACAATGCATAATGAACTTGGGGTATGATTCAATTATGTCACACAAGTCAAAGATAGGTTCCACTGTATTTAGAAACAGACGATAGATGCAATACTGTGTAACTTTATAACAATCAAATGAGTATTCAAATAGGAATACACATATATTTACAATTACCCTTGAACAGTTCCAAAACCAAATAGAACTACTTAAATTATGATTACAGTTGACCAATATATTTGGCAGTTTTTGCCGTTATTGTTAATCTGAATTAAAGATAGGATAAATGATAAAAATATGATAATGCATATCACACACAAGTGTGTATTATACGCAAATAAATAAGTCTTGTATACATTGATTAATTGGAAAGGGTGCTAATTGGGATTGTTCACTAGCCAATATATGAGCAAATATTCCCATGGGCGCTTATTAGAGCAAGGCGCTTATTACGTCAAATACTTTAGTTCTGTTTTTATGTATAAGAACCTATTTTATGCAATTTGCATTGCCTTGTTTACCTTTCCTTATGTTTTGATGTAATGCAAACATTTGAGAAAAATTCAGGTGAGCCTGCCTTATGGCACTACAGGAATTGTTTTCAGAAGATCAATTACAATTTTGTATTTTCTGTACAATTTACTGTTTGCTATGGCTTTTTTACATTGGTTAACATGGTTTGGTTAACAGTTGCTTGATAAATTGTCATTACCTTACTCATTGAGAAACCAAATTTTTACCCTTTGTCAATATATGTGTGTTTCCTATATTTTTAATAACAAGCTTTTAAAGATGTTATAAATTGTTTCAGGCACCTGGATTTCACATTGACACCAGATCAGACAAGTCATACAAAGGACTCTCCGGATGATGAATAATCCTCCCCAGAACAACTAACAGGTTCACCTCAGAAAGTGATGATTCTGAATGAATAATGCCACATCAGTGTGATTCTTAATCAAGTCTAAAGGAATTAATACCACAGCAGTGAGACTGTTTATGTGGTGTACACTGACGCTGACTTTACAAATCTGAATGACTTTTGTGGTTTACTGCACAAACATAATTGACTTTAGATATTCTTCTACCTTGAAATTCTTCTGAGATTTGACTAATTTGTTTATTTAGAAAATGGCATTGAAGCACCTGTTTCTGTTTTTGAATGTTCTTGCAAACACCTCTGGTTACTGAACCAATGAAATGTCATAAAATCAATAAATATGATTTTTTATCTTAACAATTTTTGTGTTTTGCTTCTTTAAAGAAATATCATATTGATCATTCATAACATAGGTGCTAACATATATCAAATATACTAATGCCCTGAATGTTTTCCTACAATTAATACAGCTCACTGAACGAAGTTTTTAGTTTCATGTCAGTAGAAAAGTTACATTGATATTTTTATGTACCAGTACTTTATTAGGTGTTTTCTGTGGATGCCATTAGTCTTATGCACCCATTTGGGTTAATGATATTCTGTTTCGAACTTCAATGAAACTCGTCTGTCAAGATGTAACAAGTATTGATACAGTTCCAAAATAAACTTTTAATCTCACCAGGAACAAAGGCCCAAGTGAGCACATAGCCAATGACTTTCATTTTTTTGTCAGACTGAGTATGGTGTTATGCCACTTTATGAGCAAAATTCAAACAATATTATGATGGGTGACACCAAGCAATGTACCGATGTGGTGAATCGAATGCTTCAACCACTAGGCTAGAACAAACTGGGAATATGAAGATGATATGTAAGGATACCATCATACCAGGACTGAATGCTTTTCATTTAATACGCTGAACATCTAAATTGAAATATATATGAAAAATGTTTTCACCAAAAGTACATGCCCATAGATCTCAACTTCAAGGGGATATTTACAACTAAAATAGCACAGAATATTACTACAGCTATCTGCTATGCCCAGGCTAACATTATTTACTAGGAGAAAGACATCTCGAAAAATTGCATCCGGATACCTGCCGGATACCTTCAGCAATGTTCAATTTTCATGGTTAGTTTCCAATATATTTTTAGGTGTTTCACACTTAATTGAACAAAATGCACCCCCCAAATTGTCACATGTTTTTGGAAACTCAGAATGAGGTATCCGGTGCCGGATCCTTGGACACCCAGATTGAGGTATCCGGTGAGGTATCCGGTGCCGGATACCCGGATTCCAGGTGACATACTTTCCGGTGAGGTGTCCATGCCGGATACCACAGATCTGGTATCCGGCAAGGTATCTGCCACCGGATACCCGGACGCGTTTTGGGTAAGTGTCCGGTGGTATCCGGCAGGTATCCGGATACCGGAAACTGCATTTTTTTTGCTGTGTAAGGGGATAAAACAAGGACTGGTCGGCTCGGAGTCAGTATACTGTGTCCGAGTGGGGTATTCATGTTAAACTGCGGCATGGTATCTCAGCGGGCTAGCACTATAAATCAGCATCAGTCCTTACTAGTACAAGCAGCCCCCCCTCCCCTCCCCCCCCCCCTACACACACACACACATACAAAATAAACCTCCTTTCACCTCACCTCACCCCATATCTTTGGAAATTAAGTAAGAAGTATGACATGATGATTACACAGTTCAACCGTTTTATGATGGAGATGATATCGCGTCTAGTGTTATCCTAAACAGTCTCATGACTTTGTAATTATATTCTGTAATGTCCTCACATTCCTTGCAGGAGGTTCGGGTGTACGACATCCTGAGATGGGGTGTCGATATTGCCGACGGCATGAACTACCTGTCCACTCTCAAACTGGTGCACAGAGACCTGGCGGCCAGAAACTGCATGTGAGTTGTTCACGACAATATGAGAAAGGAGGTATCATATCTATAACATTGACTCTATCACACAGCCAACATTTCCTCATATCAACACCCTCGTTGCTCCCACTCTACCACTTGACCAATAGTTGCTCATATTACAGTTGACTTGTTCTGGTTCCGTACCATGTCCAAGGATTTATTGTCAGCTTGTGGTTTAAGCACGTCATGATCTAAGGCATTCAGGAACAATGAATACATAACAACTAAACAATACACCTTCCAACACCCGATGACAACACAGACATGATTGTACGGAGTCTGCAGCTCAGACATACATCATGGTCAAAAGACCCATGTATCCGGGACATTTCGTCCGGACGCCTCAGAAATGGGTCGTTATGTTAGACTTAAGGCACAATTCGTGATAATGTTATACACAAAGTAGCGGAGAGAGAGAATTTACGGATGTCAACTTTCTATTATGAGAAACACAACGTTTCGGAGTAAATGCTTACTCCTTCATCAGGTGAACGAGGTGACTGTTGACTTCCCTTGTCAGGTTTCCACCATTGTTTTCTTATTACTTTTGTTGTTTTTACATGTACATAAAAAAATATATGTACATTCTAGCATTCATTCATCTGATGAAGCAGTAAGCATATACTCCGTAACGTTTTGCTCCTCACGATATAGAAGCTGACATCCATAAATTCTCTCTTTTCTACAAATATCTCAATGCAATTCAAAGACTTGATGAAGACCATGGACCCGTTGACGAGTTACTCATCCTGATTAACATATTTTATTTAACAAGGATGAAGTAATCATGATCATGTATTTATCTGTCTCTCTATCACGTCACATGCACCGCCTCACTATACCATTACATGACGTATCTATCACGTCACATGCACCGCCTCACTATACCATTACATGACGTATCTATCACGTCACATGCACCACCTCACTATACCATTACATGACGTATCTATCACGTCACATGCACCACCTCACTATACCATTACATGACGTATCTATCACGTCAAATGCACCGCCTCACTATACCATTACATGACGTATCTATCACGTCAAATGCACCGCCTCACTATACCACTGCATGACGTATCTATCACGTCACATGCACCGCCTCACTATTACATTACATGACGTATCTATCACGTCAAATGCACCGCCTCACTATACCATTACATGACGTATCTATCACGTAACATGCACCGCCTCACTATACCATTACATGACGTAGCTATCACATCACATGCACCGCCTCACTATTACATTACATAATCTCTTATTACATAATATGTACCGCCTTACTACTACATTACATGGCGTATCCATCACGTCACATCCACCGCCTTACTATCACATAACATATTGTCTGTATCACATTATATGCACCGCCTTACTATAACATAACATGTCGTCTGTATCACAGTATATGCACCGTCTCACTATTACATTACATATCGTATCCATCACGTCACATGCACCGCCTTACTATTACATTACATGACATATCTACCACGTCACATGCACCGCCTCACTATTAAATTGCATACCGTCTGTATCACATTATACGGACCGCCTTACTATCACATTACATGTCGTATCTATCACGTCACATGCGCCGCCTCACTATCACATTACATGTCGTATCTATCACGTCTCATGCATCGCCTCACTATCACATTACATGACGTATCTATCACGTCTCATCCATCGCCTCACTATCACATTACATGTCGTATCTATCACGTCTCATGCACCGCCTCACTATCACATTACATGTCGTATCTATCACGTCTCATGCACCGCCTCACTATCACATTACATGTCGTATCTATCACGTCTCATGCATCGCCTCACTATCACATTACATGTCGTATCTATCACGTCTCATGCACCGTCTCACTTTCACATTACATGACGTATCTATCACGTCCCATGCGCCGCCTCACTATCACATTACATGTCGTATCTATCACGTCTCATGCACCGTCTCACTATCACATTACATGTCGTATCTATCACGTCTCATGCATCGCCTCACTATCACATTACATGTCGTATCTATCACGTCTCATGCACCGTCTCACTATCACATTACATGTCGTATCTATCACGTCTCATGCACCGCCTCACTATCACATTACATGTCGTATCTATCACGTCCTATGCGCCGTCTCACTATCACATTACATGTCGTATCTATCACGTCTCATGCACCGTCTCACTATCACATTTCATGTCGTATCTATCACGTCTCATGCACCGTCTCACTATCACATTACATGTCGTATCTATCACGTCCTATGCGCCGTCTCACTATCACATTACATGTCGTATCTATCACGTCACATGCACCGTCTCACTTTCACATTACATGACGTATCTATCACGTCCTATGCGCCGCCTCACTATCACATTACATGTCGTATCTATCACGTCTCATGCACCGTCTCACTATCACATTACATGTCGTATCTATCACGTCTCATGCACCGTCTCACTATCACATTACATGTCGTATCTATCACGTCTCATGCACCGTCTCACTATCACATTACATGTCGTATCTATCACGTCTCATGCACCGCCTCACTATCACATTACATGTCGTATCTATCACGTCCTATGCGCCGTCTCACTATCACATTACATGTCGTATCTATCACGTCTCATGCACCGTCTCACTATCACATTTCATGTCGTATCTATCACGTCTCATGCACCGTCTCACTATCACATTACATGTCGTATCTATCACGTCCTATGCACCGTCTCACTATCACATTACATGTCGTATCTATCACGTCACATGCACCGTCTCACTTTCACATTACATGACGTATCTATCACGTCCTATGCGCCGCCTCACTATCACATTACATGTCGTATCTATCACGTCTCATGCACCGTCTCACTATCACATTACATGTCGTAACTATCACGTCTCATGCACCGTCTCACTATCACATTACATGTCGTATCTATCACGTCTAATGCACCGTCTCACTATCACATTACATGTCGTATCTATCACGTCTCATGCACCGCCTCACTATCACATTACATGTCGTATCTATCACGTCACATGCGCCGTCTCACTATCACATTACATGTCGTATCTATCACGTCACATGCGCCGCCTCACTATCACATTACATGTCGTATCTATCACGTCACATGCACCGTCTCACTATCACATTACATGTCGTATCTATCACGTCCTATGCGCCGCCTCACTATCACATTACATGTCGTATCTATCACGTCTCATGCACCGTCTCACTATCACATTAGATGTCGTATCTATCACGTCTCATGCACCGTCTCACTATCACATTACATGTCGTATCTATCACGTCACATGCGCCGCCTCACTATCACATTACATGTCGTATCTATCACGTCTCATGCACCGTCTCACTATCACATTTCATGTCGTATCTATCACGTCACATGCACCGTCTCACTATCACATTACATGTCGTATCTATCACGTCTCATGCACCGTCTCACTATCACATTACATGTCGTATCTATCACGTCACATGCACCGTCTCACTATCACATTACATGTCGTATCTATCACGTCTCATGCATCGCCTTACTATCACATTACATGTCGTATCTATCACGTCTCATGCACCGTCTCACTTTCACATTACATGACGTATCTATCACGTCCTATGTGCCGCCTCACTATCACATTACATGTCGTATCTATCACGTCACATGCGCCGTCTCACTATCACATTACATGTCGTATCTATCACGTCTCATGCACCGTCTCACTATCACATTACATGTCGTATCTATCACGTCACATGCACCGTCTCACTATCACATTACATGTCGTATCTATCACGTCCTATGCGCCGTCTCACTATCACATTACATGTCGTATCTATCACGTCCTATGCGCCGTCTCACTATCACATTACATGTCGTATCTATCACGTCTCATGCATCGCCTCACTATCACATTACATGTCGTATCTATCACGTCACATGCACCTTCTCACTATCACATTACATGTCGTATCTATCACATCCTATGCGCCGCCTCACTATCACATTACATGTCGTATCTATCACGTCACATGCGCCGTCTCACTATCACATTACATGTCGTATCTATCACGTCACATGCACGATCTCACTATCACATTACATGTCGTATCTATCACGTCCTATGCGCCGTCTCACTATCACATTACATGTCGTATCTATCACGTCCTATGCGCCGTCTCACTATCACATTACATGTCGTATCTATCACGTCCTATGCGCCGTCTCACTATCACATTACATGTCGTATCTATCACGTCCTATGCACCGTCTCACTATCACATTACATGTCGTATCTATCACGTCACATGCACCGTCTCACTATCACATTACATGTCGTATCTATCACGTCTCATGCACCGTCTCACTATCACATTACATGTCGTATCTATCACGTCACATGCACCATCTCACTATCACATTACATGTCGTATCTATCACGTCCTATGCGCCGTCTCACTATCACATTACATGTCGTATCTATCACGTCCTATGCGCCGTCTCACTATCACATTACATGTCGTATCTATCACGTCCTATGCGCCGTCTCACTATCACATTACATGTCGTATCTATGACGTCCTATGCACCGTCTCACTATCACATTACATGTCGTATCTATCACGTCACATGCACCGTCTCACTATCACATTACATGTCGTATCTATCACGTCTCATGCATCGCCTCACTATCACATTACATGTCGTATCTATCACGTCTCATGCACCGCCTCACTATCACATTACATGTCGTATCTATCACGTCCTATGCGCCGTCTCAATATCACATTACATGTCGTATCTATCACGTCCTGTGCGCCGTCTCACCATCACATTACATGTCGTATCTATCACGTCTCATGCGTCGCCTCACTATCACATTACATGTCGTATCTATCACGTCTCATGCACCGTCTCACTATCACATT